GAGGCGTGGTATATTCAAGTGGCACTTAGGCAGGCGTGCTTATTTGGACGCACGTGTGTACGTGACTGAGTAAGCTGAGGTCAAATGTAGGGGCCGCCGGAAAGTCGAAGAACAAGGGGATAGTTCGTAGAGAAATTTATGTACCGGCTTACTGAACAGTCTACACAAGCATTCGGTCATCGGACATCTGTTTTTTTTTTTCATTTTATTGCGCTTCAACGCCTGGACCATAATTCTCCGTTTCTCCAAGAAGTTGGGTAATCCTGCACTTGTCGAACAACGAGCCTTGGACAACTCTGTGAAAAAATAATCTCCTATTGTTTCTCAAGTTTTCATTTCTATTTCCTGTTTCTACTCTTTCCCTTCGACTTACTTTTTTTAAATTAACTACTAAACACTGCGCGATATTATCTGTATCATGACCACTTTGTAACTTCTACTGCCTCCTCTTGTGGCGTCCACCAAGTTTCTAACCGTCTCCTTTGTTTTCTCACAGTGACGGCGGCAGCGGCTTCTACATTCAGTCACCTAATCGAACTTGACCTCAGCTGGAACCCATTAGCGGCGGAGTTCTCCTCTGCGGAATTTCTTTTCAGTCTCCTGGGCACGGCTTCAATACAGCAACCGCCACACTTTGCCGGCCTCCGTTGTCTCCGTTTACGAGGCTGTCTCCAGGCGAAGGCCAAGAAACAGACTGGCTCCCCCACCCTCTTCATGCCAAATAACGTTGCTGGATCATGGCTTTCCTGTGATGGCGACTGTGCTTACTCAGTGCAAAAAGAGTCGGCTGTCTCGGGAGACTGTCTAATTCTTTGTTTGGCGAAGCTTCTCGACAGCGTATGCGTTGCGCTCCTATTGCGAGGGGATCGCTTTTTTGTATACATACGTGTATTTAGCTGTTTTTTTCGTAACCACAACCGCTTCTGAAGGATTCCACATCACAGTCAACAAGTAGTTATTGTATCAACTGGGTTACGCTGCTTCTTTTCTCTAGATCAGCGATCAGCGGTCCGTTAGGGTCCTTACTAGGTCATTAGGTGGCCATCGGTGTTCACAAATGTGACTTGACCTCTGCGAATATTGCTCATGTACTAATCTCCCGGCCAATTGGCTTTTGTGCTCGATATCTGAAACATTCGGGTAGATAGGCTCCCCTACGATTTCGCAGAACACTTGACCGAGCTGTCAAGCACGATCGTTGCTTATTAAAACTCTAGAAGAGGGGTATCCATTGCGATACCTAAATCAACTACAATGGCCACAACTGTGGCTGCCTTTGTGTAACTTCCTCTGAGCCTTCCACTATTTTCCTTGCGAATTCCGGAACATTGACCTCCTTTTAATACCCTCATCTTTTAGGGTAACTTTCATATTCAGACGCTGGATGTCGGCCACTGTAACCTTACTCCAGGCTGTTTGCTGAGTTTACAACGGTGAGTCCTCGATGTCTCGCAGTTGATGTGGTTGCGGGAAAACCTCTGATTATATTAGCTTTATTACTGCTACTGAAGTAATTTACGTAGCCAGTTTAAACACTTAATTATGGCTCTGCCGAAGCAGAGCGTCGACCAGTTTTCTGTTGTATCCCCTTAGCTGTCGCGTCTCATCTTCTATTCTGCTAGGTTGTTGGCTGCGCCAAGCACCTCGCTCACCTCCCTGGTTTGTGACGGCAACTCAGCGTTACGCTCTGTCTCTGCGCTAGAGGGTTCCACCTGGTCACGCATCCTGACCACCAGCGCTCAGGCGTCTTCCGCACTCGTCAACCTCTGCATCGACTTTCCACTCCGTACGTTTCTTTCTTAAAATAGGCTCCCAACTCTGTCCGTTGGACTGCCTGGTTTTAGTATGGGTGAAAGACTATGCACACACAGGCCTGTTCAGCCATTGTGCCTAATCCTCTCCGTAGTCGTCTGAAACAAATCGCATTACCGACAGTTCGATCGTCGAT